AAATTTTACTACAGAAAAAATTTTCAAAAATAATTACATATAACTTTTTTATTACAGTAAAATTTTTTTACATAAAGTCACATCTCAATTCAAATTAAAAATTTGAATCAGTAAATTAAACGAGTCTTTAATCTTTCTAAATATGATTAAAATGTGAAAAAAAAATCAAAAGGATAAAGTTTTTTAAAAGGATAGAATTACTAGATCTCGTGACTATACCGCTACAATTTAAGAATTGTTAACAAGTGAAATTGAGCTTCATCATCATTTATACACCAAGTGTGGTAGCCAAAGTGGAGTATCATGCTGGGTTTGTAATTATAAGATCGAGTGATGAGATATAAACTAGCGAGTATTGAGGGCTCGTTCACTTCACTAACTCTAATTTTATGATTTAAGTAAGAAAAGTGAACTTGAGTTGCTTTTAATTGGAGTTGTAATGTGAAATTTGAGTTACATGTTTAGTAAGAGATTGATGTGACGTTTACAACTTGAGTTTTGTGTTCACTTGCACATCTAAACTCACCACTTACATAAGATATTGCATTGGATTTATATTCATTTTCTGTACCTACATAAGCCAATGTTAATAGTCTTGCAAGCATTGTATGTGAGGCAGCTCAAATAACTACAGAAAAAATTCTGCAGAGGCATTATACAACTTCAAACCAAGAAAAATGAGCATGTTGTACGGTAATAAGCTAAGGTAAAAACGGCAACAGGAGAGCCAATACGACAACAGGGGAGGCAGGAATGAGGGTCCAGCGGGCAGAAAGCAAAGAGAAATCTGCACTGGGGAGGCAGGAACGGGGCAGCAACAGGAAGAAAGCAGAGGAATCTGCACTGTTCAAGCATATGGAAACACTGTAGAAGCACACTGCAGTAATGGGAAAATAACCGGTATGCCAAACTCTGAAATCAGAGTTATTACTCAAGTTTTGTTTGATGAACGCAAAACTCAACCCAAAATTCAACTCGAATTGGGCTTACTCGAATGGGATACATGAAGTGAACGGACCCTGAATATAGAAGCTTGTTTCTTGTCACTCTAGTACTCATGTAAATACCGCTCACCCTCATCGTTGACATAATCGGTAAGACTGAGATGACGCGCCCCTCATCTAAATGTTAGGACTTGTTTGTAGAGTTTTTAGTAAATATTTCTGTTAGTATTTAAAAATAACGATATGTATTAACACCGTTCGTCTTCTCTTTAAAGTATTTTATTATAAAAAAGATCTTATTAGTTTATTAAACAGAATTTGGTAAAAAAAAAAAAAAAAATAGGAATCACCTAATTAAACATATTGATATAATCTAAAAAACCCAAAAGCATCGTATCGACACTAGCTTCTGTTCATTCTAAATGTAAAAGGACCTGTATAGGAGTTTTTATTAACGATTCTAGAGGCCAACTTGAGGAATACTTTTTTCTAGCAAAACAAAAAGATAAATACTTATTTTCCGACAACTTGTATTAACTTTCCTAATCAGCGTTATGGCAATTCACATCTATATACATATTTCCCAACGTGGGTTTAAAACCCCGTGAATTCATTATTCACGTGATCAAATTGTTGATTGTCGACGTTAAAGAAAGGGAAAATTTTAATTAACGATATTTCAGTGTAGAGATCTCAGTCTAAACAGCCTGGTTAGTAGTTGGCAGGCGACTGCACTCACATCGAGGTTCCAGCTGGCGCAGCTTGATGACACAGCAACAGAGAGCCCCACCAGGAAACTAGAAGGAATTGCTAAATGGCCTCCCATATATGGGCTTTAATCCATCTTCAACGAAACGGGCTATTTTAAAGGTGACAAGGAGACAGGCTTTAAGAGTCTGAATTTTCATGGTTTATTTTTAATTAATATCCTTTCTAACGGAAGAAATATGTTAAGTTGTTTAATTCATTGATTTGAGTTAAGATATAAGTTTATGTGAAAGTTTTTATTATAATAAAAAAGTTATATGTTATTGTTTTTTAGTTTTTTACTGTAACAAAACTCGAATTCTAAACTCGAATCGGTAAAATAAACGGAACCTTGAAGAATAAAAGATAAAAAAAAAATCATCTATAATTACATGATAACATCTCTTTTTTTTTTTAAAAAGAACTTTAATTTGGTTATATATATAATTTCAATCAAATAAATAATTGATGGAAAATATTTGAAAATTTTCACGTGATCACTTTGTAAAGGGCAAAGTTTGTCATTTACAAACCTTTTAAATTTCAAATGATTTCTCTCCCCTCCCATTTAATGTGCTACTTACTAAGTAAAGATAAAGCATAGCGCATTTGTGCAAAAGAAATCCCTTTTTATAACATTTGAACTAGATTATTATAGAATTCAGCTTTTGCATTTAATTTATAGTACGTACTAGTATACTGTTAAATTTTTGCAGAGTGGCCGGGGCAACTGTACACCACAAAATCTTAGCTTAAAAGATAGGATTTTAAAAAAACAAAAAATGAAAAGATAGGATATTGAATCTGGTTCCCATTTGTGTGCGTGTTGAAAACTTTCCAATCATTATTTTGCCACCTCCAATAGAATGTTACAATTTTGTGTTAATTTAAAACTTTTACTAATTTGTTTGTCACAACAAGCACCCTAAGGGTAGCTTATTATCATTATTCGAAGTTAAAGTTCAACTTCAACTTTAGTATTTTAGTTGGAGAAATACTAGAAATCAAATATAAAAATTTTGGACCTTTTTTTTCACCCCTAGAAGCATGGAGGATTACTTAATTAACCTCTTATGTTCTACCTTTCGAAACTTGATTCTTAATTACTTGTACCAACTATTATAGGAAAAACTGTCAATTACTTGTTTAAGGTGCAAAATGAGCATTAACGTTCTCATTATTTTGATTTCTTTTTTCCTTTGAAATGTCATTATTTGGAATATTAATGAAAGAAAATAACCACAACCTCTATATAAAATAACGATCATTATAAGTAAACAATACGCCTCTGATTACACATTTGGTTCGTGGATTAGAATCATATAATTAGAATTATTTTCGATTTACGTGTATTTTTTATGAAAGAAAACATTGTAGCGAACCATGAACCATGATTCAAATCATGATTTAAATCCTCCAACCAAACATCTCCTTACTTTTCTATTTCTGCAAGAGAAGAAGCACTAGTAGTTCGAATACCAAGTTAAACAATTAGGACCCCAACAACCTAAATAAATAGCTTTAATCGAATTGCTGAGACCACGACCAGAATTCAAAGTTTTTGAAAAGTAAAAACAACCGGGAAAAATGTTTACCTCCTCACTAATTCCAAACAAATAGTTTTAAGAAATTATATCATTGATATCTGACAATATCAAGCCCTATAATGAGTACTTATACTTGTTACTATATATATGATATGTTAGTTTCATGCACAAAATGGAGCACGTACTTTCTGACCCATTAATTGTTTGGTAATAATTTGGTTGGGCATTTGACACTTCAAAATAGGCACTCCAAAGCTATAGTAATAAGGGCTTCAAAATTTGTAGAATACCAATGTCATGTTTTTGCCTTCGGTTAACAATAATTTTGACATTGTAATGATCATCACCAAAGCACGGGTGCCTCTGGCTTTGAGTCTGACAAAGTGAGAGAGAGAGAGAGAGAGAGAAGAGGGGGGGAGGGAAGAACACAGAAAACATTCAAAACCCCTCATTTTAACATAATTGTGTTAATTGGATCTTTATTTCCTAGTAGGTTTCCGTACACAACCTTTTAACTTAATTATGTGCGCCAAACGGATTAATATATTCAATCAAGTTTATTGTGGCTGTTAATGTTCCTAGTTATATCCTAATCATGCTTATGTGGAACAGATTAATTAGTGGTTTATTATATATCAGGGTAATTAGTGGTTTATTATCAGGGTCCAATTGATGGATTAGCAACATTTTAATTTCTTTTGAAATGATTGGAACTTCGATGTATACATATAGTACTGCTCCAGCAGTAGCTTTCTCTCACGTGGACTTGCAAGTTGATCTTAGTCTTTCACTATATTTTGCATTTAGTACAACAGATCAGAAATAATAAAACTATCGCCTATTGTTGTTTGGAATCATGAAATCTCTATTCACAATTGTACTGTAATTAGAATCCAATCCCTTTTTAAAACATTTGGTAGTAAAGACTGTCAACTTTATAGTAATCAAACTACTAATTAATTTTTTTTATCAACGGATTTTATCATTATCTATTCTTAACTCAAGAACTAGCTGGAACCAACACTAAATTCTACCTCGCTGTTTGATTATTCCCTTAAAAGAAGAAAAGACTACCTAATTACAAAGACTTTATGCTAAGTAACTACAAAACTATCTTTTCATTGAAATAAGGAAAAAGAAGCAACCACAAAACTCATTAATTAGAAAGAACATAATCTTTCTTCTCATGAAATGTCATACTCTAAGTAACAATTTTACTATAGCCTAGAAAGTTTTTTCAATCTTTTAGAGTACATTTGATTGGTAGATTTATACCATATTTTAAATTATAGTTCATGATTCGTTATAATATCTTTTTTTATAAAAAATACACATAAATAAAAAATAATTTTAAATCTACTAACCAACGTTCACTGATTTATATTTTTCTTTTTACTTAATAAGCTAGCCGGCCACCAAGTGGGTTCATGAGTCAAAAGGAATCTCTTGTCAGCAATTTTGTAATTGCACAAGTGAGTAACAATAGCATGCACACACACGTGGCTAAGCGCGTGAAAAGGGTGGGACAGTTTCTGCACGGAATAGAGCTACAGTAGTACACAGGTCATAGTAGTATCTCTATCAAACTTAAAAGAAATTTATTTTATTTAATTTATGAAAAACAAAAAATCAAATTTTGTAAAAGGTCAACTACAGGTCTCATATCAGTCCAAAGTCCAAGCTCACCACAAAAAACGCCCCAGCAATAAATTATCGCACGTAAAATCCCACATAAACAATTCACAAACATATCCTAGTTAAATTCAAAAACCCCAACACAACATTAAAATAACCAAACTTGAGATTCAAATTTCACCACACAAGAGTAAAGAAGCATCCCAGCTTCTTCTTCTTTCTTGTTGTTTCTCTTATAACTGAACTCTTCTCTGTCTCCTTCTGATCTGCAAAACTCTAATATTTTCCTTTTTACGCCTTGAGATTTTCGAACTCCAGAAACCTCCTCTCTCTTTCTTCGCCCTCCAGGTCTTTTCCATATATATATATATATGTAGATGTATATATCATCAGCTTTTCTTATCATCTCTCCCTTTCTATCTGTCTGATAATGTTCAGAAGGTGAATTTATGGAAAGTTCTGCTTCTTTCTTATCCTTCTCATTTCATGGCCTTTTTTCAGTCTTCATTGTCTCTGATAATATTAGTACTATCCCCTCACTGAACTAGCTTTTCAGAATCTCTGTCTCTGTAAAACCCTCTGCTATACATTACTCAGTTTATTGTCTCTCTTCTTCTTCTTCCTCTCAAAAACCCTAGTTAGCTATAGCCCAGTTTTAAACTTTCTTATGCTACATATGGCTTCTTCTTCTTCTTCTTCGGCTTCTCTTAGTTCTGATACACATGATAATCATGATCAAATGCTAATGATGATCAGAAAGCCAATCATGATCGAACACAGCATGAGCAAGCCGTTGATGCTCAAAGACTACCTCCTAGACGATCTGAGTTCGTGCTCATCCAACGGCTTCAAATCCTTCCCCCGCCGACAGTGCTGCACAACCGTCCGATTCCTTCTCGAGATTGATCTCACACAGAGGTCGTCATCATCATCATCGTCCGATCGTCATAAGAAGAAAAGCCACGATCATCATGATCAACGGCGCCTTTGGAGAAGCCGTTCCAGATCATCTTCCACAATGTCGGCGCTCCAACGAGCTACCGACGCCGTCATTAACGCCGTCAAGTTCCTGCCGTTTCCATCCGTTAAGTCATCCATACACAATAAAAGTAAAAAAGTATTATCATCATCGTCACTTCTTCCCAGAAGCCTTTCAAGGAAGCTACTCATGAGGAATCGCTTCTGGGGAAGATCAGATCAGAAGATCAGAAGGTCGAGATTTGCGTTGCCTGATCAAGTACTTCAGGAACGTTGCGAACCGTCTGATGAAAATACCATTTCAACAACAGCACCAACTGTAGTAACTGTTACTGCAGGCAGGGTCTCAACCAGCACGAGCAGTAACAGTAAAAGCAATAGCTGGTGCGAGAGCGAGTTTGCTAATTCGGACATGTTGAGTTCAACCGAAAACGACGTCGCTGAGAGTGAAAAGGAGGTGTCGCAAAAGATCAACAGGAAAGTAGATATAACTGTCGGTGATGATCATTCAACGGAAGATTCAACCACCGTAGTTAAGGTAATTTGGAGTTATTGATCTTATTCACTGCTTCGCCTGCCTAGATTAATGAATAATATCTTTATATATAGTTTATACATATGCAAATTATATATTATATACACATGCATATTATAATTTGTATCACTGTCTATTGGTCACCCGTTTGTGATTCGTTTGTCTATTTTTGAAACATAATTAATTATAGTATAAAACCTGACAGATTTTTTTTTTAAATAAAACCTGACACTTAGAAATTACATAAGTAATGTAAATTAGTAGAATCTTTCATATAGATTGATTGAGGTGGAAGTAGTGAAAAAGGGGCGTGGGGGTGAGAGTGGAAATAGCAAAAGGGACGATTTTGAGATTTTGAAATTGTTTAGAGAGAGAAGCCGCGGCTAGCTGGATCTAGGGATTGCATGATGATCACGTGTGGTGTGGGGTATTTCTTGGGAATGTATACGGTACTTCTCAGGCCTATGAGATTAAATGCGTTCGACTACTCTACCGCCTAGGATCCCGCTACGTCTTGTCGATTTGCGGGATCCACGGCGTCGAAAAGCGCGAGTGTATATTTAGGATCATAGTGACGCTATACAATATCAATACTTCTTCATGATAATAAATTTTTTATAAAATTAAATTTTTGTTTCTTTTTTAATAAATAATTGCACTTGTTGAACCGAGACATTGATTGGGAAGGAACGGTTGGCTGCCTACTTCACCATTTATTGAATTTGTATTATTGGATGAGTAATTCTTAAGGATTTTAGCTACTTTTATTAAGAGCCCGTTTGGTAAAGGAATTTGTTCCCTGATTTGAATCATGATTTCTGGTTCGCTAAGACGTTTGGTTTGATGATTCAAATCATGTGATTCGAACTATTTTCGATTTACGTGTATTTTTTGTGAGAGAAAATACTGTAGCGAACTACGAATCATGATTCGAATCAGGGAACGAATCCCTCTACCAAACGCTAAATCAAAAATGGTTCTAATCACATGGTTCTAATCCATGAACCAAACGAACTCTAAAGGTTCACCAAATTCTCTCAATTTTGTCCGTGACAAAAAATGGTTGTGGATTTTTGGCGGCTTAGGCTTTAAGAAGGATATGATTTTTCCTTTTTTGGCTTTGCTTGATGTTTTTAAAGAAAATTTTTTAAGCATATGACACGCAATGGATATAATTATAGCTCTTAGAAAAACAAAATACTTAATTGCCTTTTGTTCCACTCGAAAAATTTGTGGTATACATAATATTAATTAGTACTCAAATTTTGGTGGAATAGTAGAATAGTTGGTGAAACTGATTACTTTTTCAAATATTAATCATGTTTAGTAAGCAACACTTACTTATAGTCTTTGTCATTTCTTCCACTAAAAAAGGTGAGCGTTAAAAAATTATTCAGAAATTTTCTAATTAATATTCAAAGATTAGGTTGAACCATAGAAGAATAAGTTGTTGGAACTAATTATGACTTAAAATTTGGTTTAGAAGGTCGGGGAAACAATTAAGTAAGGCGATTAGACAGATGTCATATTATGGTCTAGTAGGTGACAAATAACATGGAAACTTCCTCAAACATGTCCTTATACTATATACACATTTCTTGTCTAAATTTACGGGAGAATCGTGCGTATAGTTTACTAAATATACTTCTTATTACGAAAATGAGAGAGAAATAAATATCACTTTTGTAGTAAATTAAAATAAATAACATGAAATAAAAATTTATCAAATAAATCATCTACTTATTAGTTGTAAATAGAAAATTTACCTGTTAAATTATTTATTTACTGCTATTTATTTTAAATATTTTTTAAATATTTTATTTACTCATTTAGTTTCGTAAAAATGCTATTCACTACTTCAAGGCTATATATTTGGTTGTTTTTTGTGGGTCTGACAGTTTGTCCAATGGAAGTCCTTAGGCAAAGGTTCATGTACAGATAGACCATTCCCTACCTTAGCCCCACCTGTATTTGGACTTGCACGGCTATTCGGCCCATCTTGAACAGCATTATGGGTCCATTTCACATTACTCATGCTCCAGTCTAAATCAAACTCGAATTGCAAATAAAAAAAGGAGTACCATAAAATCTTATGAAAAAAAAAAAACCAGAAAACAAAAAAGCTAAATATTACCCATTGTCATGATTTATGGTTTTTTACAGTGTTTTTCTCTCAAAAAAACACATATAAAATGAGAATAATTATAAATCATGATTCTGAATCCATGAACCAAACGTCCACTTAATATTATTTTTTTCCCCCTTAATGTATCTTTGTTTCTAATTTGAGCATTGACTATGGTGACTATGGTGACAGCAGGAGTGGCCAAACGAAGAGGAAAAAGAACAATTCAGTCCCGTATCCGTGTTAGATTGTCCATTTGAAGATGATGATCATGATGAAACTAGCTCTCCTTTTCATCATAAACTTGCTCGTTTAGAAGGTACTCTCTTTCTCTCAAACCATGCTATTTATGATCACCACCCTTGGTAATCATCACAACCCCTTCTTTGACAAATTAGAGCCTGTTTAGTTGGTTTCGAGTTTTTAATTTGAGTTGAGATATGACTTTATGTGAGAGCTTTTTACTGTAACAAAAAATTTAGATATGATTATTTCTGAGAGTTTTTTACTGTAACAAGACTCGAATTGGTAAAATGAACGGAACTTTAGAGATTCACAAAACAACACAAATTTACATGTCAATCTCAAATAATGGAAAAAAAAAAAAAAAAAAAAAAAAAGGCATCGAGAATGACTCTTTTATTGTTATTCCTATCTTTATATATAGCAAAGTACGAGATAGTTCATGTGTGTGTAACATGCATTTGATTAATTATTAGGAAACAAGCAAAAACTTTTACAAAAGATTCGAAGCTTCGAGAAGCTCACACAGTTGGAACCAATAGACCTAGAGAAGCGAATTGCGATGTCGGAGCTGGAAGACAAACTAGTTACAATTTCCAATGTTCACGAAGATTATGATCGTGAGAAAAGAAACGGAAGCGAGGAAAAAGCCCGGGAGATGATGAAACTCATCAGGGTTCGTACGAGTACTACCACGGCGTTAACCGCTCCTTTGAAGATCGATAACTTGGTCTCTAAGGCAGATAACTTGCTGTTTGATTTCTTCAGAGAGAGAGTAATGGAAGAGGGCGAGGCGAATGACGAGGCGTTCAATCAGAAAGAGGCTTTGAAAGTGGCTGAAGATTGGGTAAATGGGGAGACAGCGGGAGTGTTGTTGGGTTGGGAAGTGAAGGAGGCAAGAAATGGTTATGTTAAGGACATGGAAAAGAGTGGGAAATGGGGAGAGTTGGATGAGGAAAGGAATGAGATTGTTTTGGAGGTGGAATCTCAACTCTGGAATTCTTTGGTGCATGAACTTTTGCTTCATCTCTTGTGATTTCAAATTATTAAAAATAAAAAATAAAAAAAAAGTAACGTGTTTTGTACTCAACAGTGATCATCATGCAAATATTGGAACAACTCAGGGTTGTTTTCGTCATTCTAATGCAGGCACTGTCTGAACTAGCCAACTAGGCTGGTCATTGGCTTGAATGACTAAAGCCACCTTGAGGGTATTTGGCCAATCGCCAATGGGCACTATATATTATTTTTCAGTTGGTCCCACCATCTTATTATTCATTTGAGGGCACTATATATTATTTTTCAGTTGGTCCCCCCATCTTATTATTCATTTGAGGGTACTATATATTATTTTTCAGTTGGTCCCACCATCTTTCGACAATCTTTATATTATGCATATTTCTTCTTCTTCTTCTTCTTCTTCTTCTTCTTCTAATACTATTAGTTAAATTTTCTTTCTTCGACAATCTTTATATTATGCATATTTCTTCTTCTTCTTCTTCTTCTAATACTATTAGTTAAATTTTCTTTCTTTTGTTAGTTAATTCTTGTGCGCCGTCACGTTCATCTATTCTATAAATATATGTCTTCTTCTTCTTCTTTTAATACTATTAGTTAAATTTTCTTTCTTTTGTTAGTTAATTCATGTACGCCGTCACGTTCATCTATTCTATAAATATATGTTTTTCGGTAGGATATAAAAGATGCCGATTCTATTTTAAGATAGTTTAGGCAATTGTCTAACGTCACACTTAAGTCCAGGCATCCGATTTAAGTTTTTTTCTATGTATCATTTTCACTCTCATTCATACTTAACTAATATTTTTGAATTAACGCTTAATTAACTAAGGGATTATAAAAATACATATTAAAAAAAAAACACCACGAATGTTCGGAGAGCCACAACACGCACTTGGATGGAAAAATGCTAGCTTCATTTTTAGACAAAAATGTTGCAAATCAACTGAATGAGCTATTAATATTTCCTTCTTTTTTAAGGGAAGAACTAAAATGAAAAAATTGTTTTTTTCTTATATAAAAGAAAATGGTAAGTAAAGAGTACATGCATGGCGCATATGCAATACATAATATATTTGCAAAATATATCAACATATATATAACGCACGCCCTAGTTTTAACAATCATTTATGTCCAATTCCACTACACAAACAATCCATTCCAAAACAGGCTTGACGTTTTTCACACTCCTTCAAGTTTGCTCAAACATGAAGAAAGAAACAAATTAATACCCCCCCTTTATTTTTTCCTTTCCTACTTTGGTCCCTTATAGGCTTATACCCTATCTTTCTTTTCTTTTCTTATCTTCATCACACCTTTTCTCACCAGCCAAACACCCCAACAAAGTTTTGGAGCTGATTAGTTTTACATTTATGGAAAGCCCCCTCCTCGAGTAACTTCTGCTCGACGTAACACCATAATGAAGGCTGAACCAACGTGAATAAAGTAAAGAAGATCCTATTCTTGCCATTCTAACTCATATATATTTTTTTCTTAAAAAGAAACGTCTGGTTAGTTTGTTCCACCTTCCATGCCACAAAATCACGATATAAATCACTTTTAAGAAAACCTGCATGGTTAAGTCATGTGGTACCTGGTAATTAACTAGGGGAACTCTGTCGTAATTAGTTAGCAAAAAGATGTAATATAGCTACTACATACTTCTACTTGGAGCAATGTTTTTTGGAATTCGCATCACCAGTGCTAGATACTATTATTTATAAGTAGTGTTTGAACACTACAAATAGAGAAATGTTTGAGAGAGACACTAGAATTTTAGAGTTCGTTTGGTACGAGGATTTAAAGCAGAGTGATTCTAATTATGATTCTAGAACCAGAACCATAATTCGTGATTTTGGGTTCAAATCATGATTTTGAAATCATGATTCAGAATCAGGGGTTTGAATCACCTTGAATCAATAGAGAGGTGGTTTTAGAATCATGAGTGATTCTGATTTAAAACATCACATCAGATTCAGAATCATTGGTTTATGTATTCAGAATTATTTTTGTTTTACGTGTATTTTGTGAGAGAAAACACTGTAGAGAACTATAAATCATGATTCAGAATCAGAGACGAATATAAGAAACAAACGTCCACTGATTCTGAATCATAATTCAGAATCACTGTAAACAAACACCGATTCTGAATTAGGATTCAGAATCATGATTTTAGATCTATCTACCAAACGCCCCCTTAGTAATATAACTAATAAAAAGTATATGCTACTAATAGTTGCCAGGAGGCAGTAAGGATTGGTCGCCCTTACGTTTGGTTCATGGATTAGAATCATGAGATTAAAATCATTTTGGATTTACGTGTATTTTTTGTGAGAAAAAACACTGTAGCGAACCATGAACCATGATTCGAATCGGGGTACGAATCTCCCAACCAAACAACCCAATTTTTATACTTGAAAAATCCTATATATCTAAATATGCATTGCATTATATTAATATGTAAACACAGCACCCACTAAAAATTTAAAAGTCAATCTTAGAGTCGTATTAATTTTTTTTTTAGTTATTAGCTTCCATTGACATAAATTTTTAGTTGCGTCACTATTAATATGTTATTATTATGTGGGAAAGTTATCGAACACTCAAATCGAAATATTTCTTAGGCCCGTTCACTTCACCGATTCGAGTTTTGCTACAGTAAAAAGCTCTTAGAAACAGTCACATCTAACTTTTTTGCTACAGTAAAAAGTTCTCACATAAAGTCACATTTCAACTCGAATTAAAAACTCAGATCAGCGAATTAAACGGACCCTTAATATGCGAGTACGCACAAATATAGTTAAAACAACTATAAAGATAATAGTGTTAACTTTCCTAATATTAAATATCAATGGTGCGTATTAACATTGTTCTTGCAAACAAAAGTTACTTTCCTAACATTGTATATCGCTAGTGTGTATTCACATTGTTCCTTTAAATGCTTTTTATATGTCTCTTCAGACCGCTACACTTTATTTGTTTTTTTTTGGAATTATAATTTAATTTAGTTAGGAACTTAATGGGGATATAACGTGGATTGATTTTTTTGTGTAAAGACACTCAAATAGATCAAACTTTAACAACTAGTTCAAATACAAATGCGATTCAAATTCGAAAACTGATTTCTAGAATCTTGCAGATATCCATAAAAAAAATAAAAAATTTCTCAACAATTCGAGATAAACACACAAATTGAAGTAATACACAAGATTCCATAATCTAATTTTATCAAACAAAATCTGCACAAAATCTCTGTATGAAAACCCAAATAAGATAACACAATCTAATTTAACCATTCCCAAGTTTGTTTGCAAAAACAAATTTCGGACTAAAACCAATAATAATTAAATAATAACTTTAATACAAGATTGCCAACAAAACACTTGAAAATAAAATTCTAAGTAAAGATAATTGTTGAAAATAAATACAAATATAGTGAAAACCGGTCCACTAATTAAGATAATACCACCAGTGCCTATTACATTGTTCTTGCAAAATGTTTTTTATTCTTTTGGAATTAGAATTTAATTTAATTAGGAATTTAGAGGAGATAAAACGTGGTTTGTTCTTGTTGGATAATGGTTTCTCGTGCACACCGCATGGCCATAATGAGCCTCACAGGGGATCACAGTCAACAGATTTGACTGACCAAACGCCAAACGCCAAAGCCACACTTTTGCGTCACAGAGAGAATATTACAAACAAAAAGAAAAAGACTTTCTGAAACCAAACTTGTACCGGTAATTTTCTTCCACGAGAAAATTCCAACATATTAATTTTCCTGGAAAAACTGAGCTTGGTGAACCGTCCATGTGTACCGTGATTCATGTGAATCGCAAGGCTCCTCTCTCTCTCTACTTTCTCTCTCTTCTCTCAATCAGAAAGAAAGAGAATTGAAAGTGACGAAAGGGAGAAATGGGTCTGCTTCTTCTTCTGATGCTTGTCTTCTCGATGTGATTAACCCAGCCTTTTAAAAGGGCGTGCAATACAAGATTGATAAGAGTTCAGAATTTAGAAGAAAGAAAACATTTTTTTTTTGTTTTCTCTGTTTTTGTTTGGTTTTGATTTGAGGTGATGAAGAACGAGCATCAAACGACGGCCCTTTTCGGGATTTCACTCACGGACAGGCCTAAATGGCAACAGTTCATCATCTGCTCTTCTGGCTTCTTCTTTGGCTACCTCATTAATGGCGTTTGCGAGGTCACCTTCTGGTTTTTTTTTCTCTCTCTCTCTCTCTTCTTTCCTTTGTTTTTGTTGCTTAATAGATGCGGAATTTCCGATCTCAACTATCATTCATGTTCGTTTCTTTTTTTTTTTTTTTGGTTTATTTCCTTCGAAAACATGAAATAAATAAAAAACTAAAATAATAATGCAAAGCAGAGTTTTTTCTTTTTGTGATTTTTTTGGTACCATTTTATCATACCATGCATTGTTCTTTGCTTCTTTTGTGCACTGTTTTATAACTTTTATTGTTCTTGAAGTCCCCTGTTTTTCTCTGTTTTCCCTTTGACATTATAATTTGTTTTTTCATCTCAGGAATACGTTTACAATCGGCTTCAATTCAGGTATTCTAGCCATTATTTAACCATTGTAAAAATGGAACTAACACAAAACGCTCTTTTTATCTTTCTCTTTTTTTTTTTTTTTTTATCGAGCACTTTTTTTTATCTTTCACTACTTCTAGTTAACTCTTTATACACACGCACACATATATATTAGTGTAAAACATGTATGTCTTAACAAGTGCAAATAACTCCCATTTGGCAGCTATGGGTGGTACTTCACTTTTGTGCAAGGATTTGTGTATATCATGCTCATATACCTCCAAGGTTTCACCACCAAGCAAATGGTCAACTCATGGAACACATATGTCAAGCTCTCTGCTGTTTTAATGGGGTCTCAAGGACTCACCAAAGGGTCCTTGGCTTTTCTCAACTACCCGGCTCAGATCATGTTCAAATCCACAAAGGTAAACCCCTCAAAATCAACCTACATTTTTTAAGTTTTAGTCCTTTTCAATTTCATTTTTTGTTTTCCTTGTTTTGATTGTTGCCAAAGATTCAAATGCCGACTTTCAGATTCACTGATTATCACGGTCTATAAAAATTTAAGCGACAATGTTAAACTTGTAATGTGGTCATCATCACACCTTTTTAACAACTTTGAGACTCGCAGTTTATTACGATCTACGTGTTCTTACACCTTTTCTTTTACTAGTATATGGTTCGCAGATTTACACACTGACTTTGAAAGTAGCAAATTATTATGATCTACATATTTTTGGTATAGCAAAATGACTAGTTGAAAAAATGTGGCTCATCATGGCTACTAGTAATATTTTTCCTAATTTTCTGACCAAGGGCTTATGTGCGTGTGGAAATTCAGGTATTACCTGTTATGGTCATGGGTGCTTTCATTCCAGGATTGAGAAGAAAATACCCACTTCATGAATACGTCTCTGCTATGCTTCTAGTGATAGGTCTAATACTTTTCACCTTAGCTGATGCTCAGACATCTCCCGAATTTCACATTTTCGGTGTTGTGATGATCTCGGGTGCTCTTATCATGGATGCTTTTGTGGGGAATTTGCAAGAGGCAATCTTTACCTTAAACCCAGATACCACACAGGTCAACTCTATTACCAAAGGTTTTTTTTTTTTTTTTTTTTTTACCAAACAAGGTTGAATGGCATAACTTTATTATACTTTGAGTAAATTATATGATTTTTTTTTCTCTTTTCTGCAGATGGAGATGTTGTTCTGCTCAACAGTAGTTGGGTTGCCTTTCTTGCTTCCACCTATGATTCTAACAGGAGAGCTACTTAAGGCCTGGAATTCTTGTTCTGAGGTGGACCAAATCTCAAATAATCTCTCTTTTTTTTTTTTTTTTTTTTTTGAAATTTTGTTGTTGTGCATGATGAGGTTGGAGTAAGTTATTAGCAAAATGATACCGCTACCACCTAACAGGATTTCATGAGGGATAAATAAAAATGATAGTTGTTGGTTAAGTTGGGCAATGTGGTTGGACTTTAGCAAACAGTTATGACACTTTGTAGTAATTCTGTAAAAAGGTCTATTAAAAGGCTTCCAAACAATGAAACTAGATAAAAACAGATTAGGATCAAAACCAAGATAATGGAGCTTCTGAATTCTCTACACAACATTTCACTTGTATTTTAAAAAACTGAACGATGCTCATCATTTTAAAATCGCAGCATCCTTATGTTTACGGGGTGTTGGTGTTCGAAGCCATGGCGACATACATCGGTCAAGTGTCTGTACTATCCCTCGTCGCTCTTTTCGGTGCTGCCACCACTGCCATGGTAATGCCAACACATTTACCATTTTTCTTTTTAATTTTGAACATAGTGGAGTTTTAATGGTTACTTGTTTTTGCAGATTACAACGGCTAGAAAGGCTGTCACTTTGTTGCTTTCATACATGATATTTACAAAGCCCTTGACTGACCAACATGGGATAGGACTTTTACTCATATCCATGGGAATCATGCTAAAGATGGTCCCGGAAAACAAAATCCCCACTTGGAATACAATTCAATATTCTATTGCCAAGCATTCAAAATCCACTTCCAAAACAGAAAACCAAGAAAGTTTTGAAGATGATGAGGAGAAAAGAGCCTTGGTGTAAAAGATCAATGTTGCAGACTTATTCACTATCCGTTTTTTTTTTTTTGCTTTGCTTTTGTAGTTCTCTTTTACTTTTGTTTCAAGGTTCCTAGAAATTTTCTCAGGCATTTGTTTATATGTTTTGGTGCATAGGGTAGGAGGAGAAGAGAGAATTTTATTTTATTTTTATTTTATTTTTATTTTATTTTATTTGTAATTGTATTTGGGTTTTCACAAGGAACTTTTGCAGTTGCAGAATTGTTTTTTCTTCTTAAGAATTAGCTTTGTTGCATCTTTGATATGAATTAAACTTTACTCTTTTGCATGCTTTCAAAGTAATATGTATTACGATTAATCCTTAATTATCTAGCATAGAGAGCTTGGCTTATTAAAAAAAATCAGATCATGATAATATCATCATTTGTTTTTAGTAAGATAATAGTCATCAATTAAATCTACCGGGCACTTTTGTTTATTTATTTATTTTTTCACTAAAACTATTTAGAAAGTGGCGGATGATATGGAAATCACGGTGTTCTTCTTTTTGGTCAATAATAATGCGAGGCACAATTCACAACCTTAAACTTGAGGTGTTGTTTTTTTTTTTTTTTTTTTATCTCTGTCGTTTTCCTGAGATAACGTCGCTTTTAAGACGCTTTGTATTTGGAATCTCGTTGTCTCGTTTCCCTGATACTTTCTTTTTTTTTTTTTTTTTTAAATTCTAGGGCTAGGACTATGTCTTTCCTAATAAACTGTCGTTTTTAGAATCTTTTGTGTATTTCAAGATGGCGTTCCTATAATAAAATGTGGTCCTTCAAATTGTTGTCGTTTTAACACTTAATCATTTCCTAATGGATTGTCGTTTTAAAGATTAATCGTTATGCTGTTGCGTATTAAAGTATTATAGTTTATGCTAATGTTTTCAACTTGTTGTTCATTTTAATTAATTTCTTGTGAAGATGCCTTCGTTCCTTAGGCATTATCGTGTTCTTGAAATCCCATAATTTCCTGAAATAATTAAAAGCTGTCATCCTCATTGGTTTCCACCCTTATACGTCATTCGTTTATTATTATCGTTTTCCTTATGGTCCTTTTATAGTTTTGTCGTCTGAAGATGCCGTTTAATAGGATATTGTCGTTTCTGACGATGATTTTTTTTTTTCCTGGAAGAGTATTGTTTTTCAAGCTGTTGTCCTTTGATGGATTATAATTATTGTTGCCCCCAAGTTGTAGTCGTTTAACATACTGTCGTTTTCTTGTAGCGTTTCTTAACAATGACGCCGTTTTTAGACTTTGTCCTTCCCTACGTTGTTGTTTCTTGACAATGATGTTGTTCTAACGATTCTTTCGGGATTGTCCTTTTTAGAATGTAATTTGAGTGTAGTTTTTGAGTTGAATTTGAGTTATAACTTGAGTTGAAGTTGTAACTTAAATAAAGTTGAATAAAGTTGAAACTTAAAAAGAACATGAACTTAAATAAAGTTGGAACTCGAGTTGTCTTTTTTTGAGTTTTTTAGACAAAAGAATAACCCTCGTTTCCTAGGCTTTTTTTTAAACCATAATGTCATTGTTGTAGTTACGTCATTTCGTGAAGTAAACACTGTCGTCTTTTTACAACGATGTAGTTTTGTGCATTTGTTGTTTCATATAATATTTTCAATTTGTCCTTCAAAAGAAATATAGACATTTGAGTTTTATTGTAGTAAAAATTTTTTAAAAATAATCACATTTTTTTATTATAATAAAAAATTTTCACATACAGTCATATTTAAACTCGAATCAAAAAATTAAACGGACCGTATTGTCAATTTGTTGAGAAAATAAATAGTCAACTTTTTTTACAATGACGTGGCTATGATTCTGTCGTTCCGTGAGATAGCAATGATTCATCTTGTACGATTATGTCATTTACAAAGATACGTTAGTTTTCATCATAATAATGTCGTTTTTCTACATGTCGTATCAACACATATTGTCGTTTTTAATACTCAGTCCGTCCTTTTGAATAATTGTAGTTTGGTTGCTATTGATTTCGTTTTCCAAAGTTATTTAAACGAAAATTTTTATTTTGGACAAATATGATTAGCCTATTGTTGTTTCTCACGTCACAATTTCACAATATTCTCCCTTCAGTAGTACGTTGTCGTTTCTGGCAAACCTATTGTCGTGGCAAACCTATTGTCGTTTCTCACAATACTGTTATCGTTTCTCAGGCCCGGCCCAAGTTCATTCCTGTCCCCAATCGTAATGGCGGGCCCCACCACTTTGGTATCCACTATCCAATTCTGTGCAGCTTACAAGAGCACGTGGCCCAGCTGTGTGCTGCTGTACTTCTATCCAATCTAATATATTATTTAAAAAATAATTTTTTTTTTAAAGGAAATCCCCCCACGCTTGCTTATAAGATCCAAGGGCTCTAATTGAAAGTTAGTTCACCACCTGATCGGACGGCCTCAAATGTCTGCTTAGTTTTACAAATTACAATCCATGATTTATTTATTTTTTAAAAAAATAAAAATAAAAAATTGGGGGAAAAAGACTCTTTTTCTCCCTCACTCTCTCGTGGCCTGGGACAAAAAGCTGAGGAATTTCAAAGAACCCTATTTTTTTTAGCTTTTTGAGCTTTCCTTCGAAACTTCATTCTCTCGCCACTGAAATTCAATCATCATGAAAGGAACGAAACGTTTCGCCGTACCGGAATCGAACCCCGCCTCGCAAAATGACTCCGCCGTACGTTTCTTTTCTCATTCTTACCCCTTCTTTAAAAATAAATACATCAATAAATAAAATCACTTTCTCTTTCAATTTTAATTTTTTTTTTGTTTTACTCCTCCGTTGAAATGGTTTTGGAATTGTGAGTTCCTGTTCAAGTTTGTTGCTTTTGCATCTTTTAGTGAAAAGTTTGTCAGAGTTTGATTTTTCTTTCTGGGAAAAACAAGCTGAAATTTTGAATGTTTTGGGTTTTTGTGAAAATCAATGACATTAGAGAGATGAGCTCAATCATGCTTATTTGGACTCAGATTACTGTATAGTTGTTAAGTTTATTAACTTTTATTTCTGGGTTTTTTTTTTCACAATTCCCAAGTCAAGGGTTTTGAAATTTGTTTATTGTGTTTGCCCTTATTATTAGCATTTAGTAATATGGATTTGTTTAGTAATTGTTTCAGGTTATAGGTTAATGACTTTTCTTAATTTAATGATTTTGCGCATCCGTTGTCTTTGTATTTTCATTGAAACTGGGAAAACAGAACCAATTATGCAACCAAAATCAGTAAATGTCTCGTCTCTTTACTTGAATTTATGCTTTGGAATTTGGGTTGGTTCAGTTATAATGGTTTTGAAGAATCAGAATTCAGATAACTGTAAGTTTGTGGTCTTGAAATATTTAGTCAGTGGGGGTTATGAACTTTATTAATGATGGCTAATTTATGCATGATGCTTGTTTGTTATAAGTAAAACAACACTGCTGATGATCATTTGTTGTATAAGATCTCTGTTTTTCATGTATTTCTGTGTATTTGACGTATTGATTTTTGTGGGCGATTATTTGATTTCAGTTTTCCAATAGATGATTCTTATTTTATTTTCGTCCTTTTTCCGATGGTGATGCAGTTCTGGAATAAAAGAATAACGGTAGGATCCATGTTTGATGTTCACAGGGCAGACCTTTCTCAACAGAAACCGATGGGCTCGCCCACATTAAATTTGCAGCGAGCCGAGTCATCTCGGCAGCATGTGAGAGCTCTGAACATCCAATTCGCAAGGTATTACTTATTCCTACTTTGATACTTCTGTTTGCATCATCTACTATTTTAATGATGCCTTTTATGAAGATTGAATGTAATTCATTTGTTTTATTTTTGTTTATGATAATATAAGTCATTGGGTGTAGCTTGCATTTGATTTAAATCATCATGGCTTGAGGTACTTGACATTAGGTTTGTAATTTATTTATCTTTGCCAGTTGGGTGCAAACACAATTGAAGAACCACCCGGATGAACTCTGGGAAGATGGCGTTCGGGACTACCTAGCTCATGCTTCAAACATCATGGTAATTCCTTTGTTTTTTCTTCATCCGTTTGCATTTTTTATAATGATCCTGCGTGACTTTTCTTCTTATTAATGAGTTTGGTTGATTATAAAAAATTGGGTTATGAAAGCCAATCTGGCTGGTTCTATTGTCATGCTGTAGTATCAATAAGTCGTTATGTTCAAGACAAGTGACAAGTCATTATTTTCTTATTTTCCCTTATCATGAAGATTGGGGTCTTTGCTAGATTGATTCTGAACTATTTAAACCATCAAATGATCAAATAAGTTCTTGATCAAGAACACATAAATCATATTTGTGCATGTTTAAGAATAATATTTATGTATTTAATGCCAACTTGCTAGTCACTCCCTTTTTGGTCAAGGATGAAGTTGAGTTGATTCTTACGGTGCATGCCAAGCGATTGATGTTCTAACGTATAGATCTTCTCTATTCACCCTCATGCTTCAGGAGAAATTCACGGATGTTGTCAACTGGCTTAAAGCAAATGCTGCAAATGGAGAAAGTTTGCCTGCTGCGGAATTACAGACTACAGAAAAGAAAACGATACCAGAAGCCAAGAATAGTGAGACCAAATTATTTCAGACACAAACTGGGCTTACCCCTGTGAGTACAACTCCTAGCTTTGTGACTTCATGGAGTTCTGGCGTATTCTCCAACAATCAAACGGGAGGGGTCGCCAACAGTCAAAACTCCAGTGTGTTGTCAAGTACTCAAAGCTCTGGAGTACTCGTCAACAGCCAAAGCTCAGGGGTGTTCTCCAACAGCCAAAGCTCAGGGGTGTTCTCTAGCAGCCAAAGCTTAGGTGTGTCCTCCAGCAGCCAAAGCTTAGGTGTGTCCTCCAACAGCCAAAGCTCCGGGTTATTCTCCAACAGCCAAAGCTCCGGGTTATTCTCCAACAGCCAAAGCTCCGGCTTATTCTCAAACAGTCAGAGCTCCGGGTTACTCTCAAACAGTCAAAGCTCCGGCTTATTATCGAACAGCCAAAGCACCGAGATATTCTCAAACAGCCAAAGCTCCAATATATTCTCGAACAACCAAAGCTCTGGGCTATTCTCCAACAGCCAAAGCTCAGGCTTATTCTCCAACAATCAAACCCCATTCTCGTTTGGTAAGTGTCATTCTAAATTCTACACTTCGATGGATTTTGTTTGTGGATTTAGTAGCTCTCAGATGTATGAACTAAGTCCATGTGCGAGACAAAGAACAAAGTAATAGTGGTTTGATTTCAGAAATTAAAGTATTTATGAAGAATGTGTGACATACAAAATATATTACAAGGATCCAATATTTTTTGTTCATCTGAGATGAAGTTGAATAGCTACAATTTTCGGATTCTTATGCAGGAAATTATGGTTCAGCTCCTGAAAACCGGGACGCTGCAGATGATGCGGATGGTGGTAAGACAATAAATTCATACTTGGAGACATTCCCATTCACACCCACTTTTACAATATTTTTGTTTAGGAGAAGTGTGACCTCTTTTTCCCCCATAATTTCTTAATATTCTTTTTTACGACCAGAAAATGAAGAGCAACCCAGCAGCCCATCTGTGAAGAAGTCTGAAGAAAAGGGCGTTGTTGTTGTCCATGAAGTCAAGTGCAAACTTTATGTGAAGGTAATATCTGAAAGACCACTATCTTGGCTCAAAACCTTCTGAAAGACTGCTGGAGATTTTTGGTCCTACGAATCTATCTCCCCCCCCCCCCCCCCCCCC